ATTCCTTAAAATATAAATATATATATGATTTATTGTGTGTATTATAACCACAACTATTTTTGCTTCTTTTCTTTTCTTACAATTACCTACCCACTCACAATTTTTTGAAATTCGAACATTCAAAGATTCCCCTTCTCCCCCTCTCCCTCCCTCTCGCGCTCGTCGCATTCCTTCAACAAATTGTAATCGAGTCACTGGCATTTTCATCATGCCTCCTGTTCGAAAAAAGCTCCCCAACTCAATGTTGGACAACGCGAGAGTCCGCCCGAGGCCTCCTGCAAAAACACCTGGCCTCGCGCAAAAATTATCAAGCCTATTTGCGAGTGAGGCCTTTATCCCTGGGAAGTCTTCCACACTTCCCGATCAAGAGATGACTGATTCTGACCCGATCAGAACAGAAACAAATGGTCAATAGGCCGGGAAACCCGCCGAGCTGGCCCCCGAGGCAAGCAGTTCCAGGAAAGGAAAGGAGGTCGTCAGAGAAAAGACGACCGAATGTGCAGAATTGCCTGCCGGAAAAAATATTGTGCCAGCCTCAAAAGGCGCAGCTTCGACATCAGCACCGGAATATCCACCGGAGCTGTAATCAGTGATGGAGGCCGAGAAGCGTCGTACGACGCAAATCAAGGCCCGTTTATCAATCTGTTCCACTGCAATAATCAGTGTTGAAGCAGCACTTTCGCCTCTCTCGACTGGCGACGAAAAAGAGTTTGTAGACGGCATCAAAGTCTACCTTCGAGCGGCCATTGGCCAGTTCATACAATCAGGCCCAGGGAGCACTCCACCAGCTCTCCCTGCGCGCCCCATCAACCTTCCTCCGCCGAGGGCTCATGAAATTAGGGTACCTAACCCTTCGACAACCCAGGCTCAGGCACCAAGGACGACTTGGGCCACAGTAGCCCGTGCAGGTCTAGGCCGCAGCGCCGGGCCGTCGACTACAAAGGCAGCACCGCCCGCCTCAAAAGCAAAAAGTGCCAATCCGAGGGCAAAATTCGACGCGAGACTTTTTCTACGCCTCAAAGTTAACCACCCCCACCGACTCCTGTCACCAGCTGGCGTAAGATTAGCTGTGCCACAGGTGCTTGGTACCGCTGCCGACGACATCACGTTGGTTCAGCGGGTCAAAACAGGCTTTGCACTGACAGTAAAGAATGAACTCGCTCGGAAAGAGCTGCTAGATTCCTCCATGTCACGGAGCGAATCTGGAATCAAACTGGAACCAGCATCAAATCTGGTTGCCATGCAAATTGCCACCGTCCCGGAGACAATAAACACACTTGCAGGTCCCATCGAGATCACGGCAAAGATGGTTGCTGACGAAGTCACGCGAGTGACGAAATCGGTTCCGTTCCTTGTCCGTCCGCACGGGTACTGCAAGCCTGGGGCGCCATACGAGAACTGGCAAGCCATCTTTCCTCGCGAGTCCGCGCCCAGACCTGGATTCCGCATCTTCGACAATTCTGGAGCTGCGAAGCTCTTCCGAACTCGTCTCCAACTCGAACAGTGCAAACGTTGTCTTGGCTATCACGCCAGCCGCAGATGCTCCCGCGCTCCAGCTTGCTGGAACTGCGGCTCAAACATACACTCGGAAGTGGAGTGCAAGGCCATCACACGATGTCGCAATTGTGGGGGACCTCACCGATCGGACTCTCGGCACTGCCAAGCCAGACCTAGAAAAGATGGACCGATGACCAAGGAGCAGCTCGCAGCAATTCGCAACGTCGAGCAAGAAAGATATGCAGACTTTTCCCGCGTCGAAGCTGCATACAAAAAGGACGAAGAGGCGAGGAACGCCTCTGCGAAGGACGTCTCCATGGCGGAGGGATCGGGTTTCGGAATTCTAGAAATCGAAGAAGAAGTTTGAGGACTCGGCAGTCCTTGGTTAAGTCTACAACAACTTTCACAACAAAAAGCAGGAAACCGTCCGACAGCAAAGGTTACCTGAGAGCTCATCTTTCGCTCTCAGCGGAGATTAGGAAAAGTCACTTGGAAGATGTGACAGGGAAGGAAACGGGCGAGAAGCGCGGGATCTGGACCACATATGAAATTCTTCTAAATTATTTTTTATTTTTTCAGTTTATTTCAGTTTTTTTTTGATTTACGCTTTGATTTCAGTTTTGATTTAAGTTTTGTTGTTAACTTCATCTACTTTTGTTGAGGTTCCCGCGGTTGGAATGAGTTGGGCCTGTACGCAGAGAACCCCACCGGCTCCAACAGTCTTGTACCGATAGTGGACCTAGAGCTTTAGCTTAGGACTTTAAAATAAAAAAACAAAACTTCACAATTACGGATAGTGTGGAGTTCTAAGCGAGACACGTGACACAATTACAGATTTATCGCATGACTTTCAACACAAATCTATCTCAATTACAATCATCATCTTGATTCATGTCACCATCAATAGCTGCAAAGGACAGTTTAACCATTTCCTTACATAAAAAGAACAGGAGATACGGGTAGGCCTTGAGGTAGGCCATAGGAGACATCGAATTAGGGACCAGTTGAGCCATTTAGACAGATCTTCGCAACGCGGTTGGAGGCAAAAGAAGCGACCCATCTAACCAGTTTATCAGGCCAACCTTGGTCTTTAAGTCGATGGACTAGTCGTCCAGGAGTACGCCATCAAACCCACCCTTTATATCAAGTGTCAGCAGGAAGGCAGTAAACTTACTGTTTAATGCCGTTCCAGTGTCATATACTAGGCAGGTCATCAAGTCTGAGGCCAAGCGAAGAGGCAAGGCTCTAACGTGTTGTAAAGCTACTATCTTGGCCTTAACAGCTATCCAGGAGAGGCAGCAGGTGATCAATCGTTCGAGGCCTTTTCCTAGGGTCGAGAGGAGAGCAATGGGTAGGTATGAGCGTGGACTGGATCGATCCGTCTTATTAGGCTTGTTTAACATAAGCAGTACGGTAGTCTTGAAGCAAGCAGTATGCTGACCAGCCTGAAGGTGGCCTCTAAAAAAACACTGACCCGAGTTTCAGTTAATGGCCAGCCTGCCTTCAAGATTGCCGTTGAATTTTGTTTTAACCGGGTGCTGTATTGCTTGCTTTGATCACTAAGTCCCTCATTTCAGCCGGTGTTAGGTCGGGAAGCGTGAGGTTAGCAGTGCCGACTGACGGCACATCTAATGCAAAGTCTACTACTTAAGAGGCATTTTGCAGTAGATCCCGAGCTAGGAAGTCACGCTTCTCTTGAATGTGTTTGCACGTTGGGCTCCGGAGTTTGTTAGGTCATTGAAAGGCGGGGTGCAAAATGATGTTACCGTTTGGTGCCAGTTGTGTTAAAGTTATGAACTTGAGCCAAGATGGAGGTAAGAGCGGAATCAGTGTCGACGGTTAGACCGATTCAATAAGTCTTATATGAGGTTGTAGAAGGAAGATTTTAGTGGAAACAATTGTATTGAGATGTATGATTCTGAGGAAAACTGATATGAAAAGAGTGAGGTCGCGAGTTTGCATATCTTATCAACTCTGGTTTTTGACCAGTATTTATCAATCTTCATGGATCGTAAGTTATGAGCCATGCAGATGTAGATCTATGTACATACGCATATATAAGCCAGGAATATAAAGCCAAATACATGTGTGTCAGTAATGGGTACGAGAAAACTATAACCTGAATTAGAGACGTAGTCATCTGCTGGAATGCTGGTGTGAAATAAATGCTAATGCGCGTTAAACTTTCGGTGAAGGATGTATTGATGGCAATGATATAGGATAGGGAATTTGATAGTCTTATTAGCCAGATCCACAAATAATATATACTACGTATTCCAAGATATATCATATTTCAACAAGTAGAATATTAGGCGCAGGACTCAAGGCATAGGATAGAGCGTGGTGTGCGAGTTACGGAGGAAGGGCGGCTCGTGGGAACGCAAAGGGATTTCTAGAGAAGTAGTAGAGGGGTACGCAGGGATCGTTCTGAATAGAATAGCCAGAGGTGGAAGTAGGTCACAGAGGGTGTCAGAGGATGAGAGTGAGATATGATTAGAATTATGTAACTCGTCCTAAAGACGGAATACATAGCGTGAAGAACTCAATCTGGAAAATCAAAACTACATAACTGTCCTCGCTAGGGGGACTAGGAACTTTTAGGCAGAAAATCCAGATCTCAATTCAGAAGTCAATTATCCAGACCGTGACACTCTAGCTCTCACTATAGAGCCTACAGAGCCTAGATTGAGTAACAAAGTCGTCATTTCGATGGGAATTCCCAATCGATTTCACGGTCTTAATCGTCTTCATACCTCAATAATACCTCCCATCACCATTAATATGAAGGTTAGCATGATCAGATCAGATTGTAGGGTCGAAGCCCTTCTCATCATCCACTTTTCTTGGCCGTGGAGGACAAGTCATACTATGAGTTTCTGGAGCATACCCTGTACTTGACATGGCAATGGTGAATCGGGTTATTTTTGCCTTTGATGTTACAAGGAAGGGAGATGTAGATGGACATGCGCACCTCATGTGGTCCCGGTGTCTAGGCCTCGCCTAGTTTGGGATACAGGTCTTTTGAGACTTTTTCCAGCGCACGCAGTTTCCATTGCTACCATTTTTAATTTCTTTTGGATAGAAGGTTTCGTGGAAGAGGTGGCTAAATTCCATGGGTAAATACTGAGCAGTTATGCATCACGGGCAATATATCAGAGATCTTTTAGGCAACAAAAAAGGATAGAAGCTTTGCGCAGGGTGCAGCCTGGGCCAGAGAGGAGCCCATTACAATAGATAGTCATGGACTCATTCAGTACAATAAACGACTCACTCTCTCTTGGCAGGCGGATGGATAAACAAAATGTAGCGAGTTTAATTTCAACCCTATTCCTACCACTGGTATCAACCACACCTTACATAATCTAGGCTAGCCCCACAATTAAACCGAAGCTCACAGATTCAATCAGTAGCATTTTGTACTGCAAGATCATCTGTAATTACTCCAAGAAGTATGAGACTTAGCTCATGGACTCAAATTTCTGAATTCAACAGGCCAAGCAACGATGCATTCGCTCTATTCATTGAGACAATCCAACAACAGGCGAACCGTTCATGAGACACAAGATGTGGCGGATACTGGGATTGCAGTGACAGTTCTTCCTGCTCCTCTTCAAAGCTTTCCCACATCTCGGAGCCAACTAACATTGAATCAGAATAACCCTCAAGCGCCATTACCGCAGTCAACTTTCTCTAATATCGATAACACTAAAGATGATCTTTCCCTACCCCAGCTAAGACGAATAGTAGCGGAAATTCCAAAGACAGAGGCCATACCATACGCATTTACCTATGCCGATACTGCTTCTTTTGAGGATGAGATTAATGAATGGTTTTCATATAGTGATGCCGAGTACAAGCGCTTAATTCATGCGAAAGATATTTTTCAAGCAAGATGGAAAAAGTTCGGAAGTAAGCCATGGACACTTAGCGAAAAATCTGTGTGTGAACAATTCGTCAAAAAGGAAATTTCTGAGCTTCAAACATCAAGCTCAAACAAGAGATGGAAAAGTCTTCAGACAATATTGCATGTAGTCCTAGGAGTTTGGGATGTAATGGCATGTATAGATGCGAAGAATAATCCTAGGGCTTCTCTTTTGAAAGCCTCATCGAAGCAGGTTAGTCAAATGAAATTTGGGCTGAATCTTGTGGTTATGGCCGGGGGAATCCCTATCCTTTTTAACATCTTGCAAAATGTGTTCCAAATACGGAAGAATATTAGCTTTCAGGACTCGGCCTTCTCAACAGAAAAGTTACCTTACATTCAAAATGAGCTCAACGCTATCACATCTATATTTTATCTAATCATTGAGGAAATTAGATATGATAACACTGGTCTTGCTACTGCTCGGAAAGATCTATTTAAATCTTCTCCCAACCTTGTGAGCTATTTAATAGATGTTACAGCAAGTTTAAGGTGGGATGAGGCTAGTATTTTGCCGCAAAAGAAAGTTTTTTTACTATTATGGAAGTCTATATTACTGACTCTGGGTGGAACTGCTGAACTTAATAATGTGAAAAAAGAAACTAATGAGGATAAGAATTCTGGTGATAAGGGTGAAAAATTAATTACAGCATCACCTCTCGACTATCATATTTTTCGTCAGGAAATAATATCCAAGTATCCCGCTTACATCCCTCCACAACCTCTCATTCCCTTGGAACCAGAAAATAATTCGATTCTCCCACCACTATTTAGTAGACCGCAGATCGCAAATCGGACTAATGCTGGCATCATAACTTCGGCCATAGATGTCAATAGCAGCGGGGCTTCTATTCTTCATCAACCTGTGCACATTGCGACACCGGCTCCATCCCCACCACCATCTCCTCCCGTGGGTGGCAAAGCTGGTAAAAAACAGAATTATCAGACAAATCAAAATTTCCCGTTTATCTATCCACCATTAGACAGCTCAAGTAGCAGTGCAGGTGGTAAGGGTCTAGCTGGTCTCCAAGAGCTAATTGTTGGTCGTAAATGGAAAGGTAGCGACATTCCAAAATCAATTCTTGAAGCTGGTGATTTATTTTCAAAGCGAATGCGTATGAGCAGGTCCATGCGTCAGTTATGGGACGAGAGGGAAAAATTCATTAAATCAGAAAGGGGATGGGATGACGAAGAAGATCCATTTGACTTCGGAGACTCTGATCCTGAAACTATTATGAAAAATAGAATATCAAAACTCTTATCTAAACCTGATCAGCCAAATATAGATCATGGGACAAATAATTGTTTAAGTGACGACTCTAAACAAAAGCTAGGGCTTGTGGAAGATATTTACGTATGCTCAAAGTAACTTTTATTTTTTGTTTACTTACCTCAAATAGAAAAACTCACTACCTCACCTTCAGTCGCTGGTCATAGTACTGCTGAGAGCTATGCAAGAAAATATCAATTTAATGGGGCAATATGAAGAACAAAGTCAGGGGTCTAGAGATGCCAACCCTCGTCGCAATACTTCTCATGGGCAACAGAGAGTACAAGAACCGTTAAATGCTTCATTGCCGTATGCTTGGTCATCTAACATCCAAAACGAAGAATTAGTAGCCCCTAGGACACGAGAAATAATTTCTAAAGCGGTATCTGCTATAATTCTTTTGCTTCTCAAGTGGTTTAAAATCTCTCGTTGGTTATTTCTACTCAGGCGATTCCTATGATACACTAACTGTTGTAGATATTCTAAAGTTTGAATATTTCACACAGCTACTTCTAGACTCCAATTACTTAGCCCTGACGTTAAAATCAATTGCACACCAAGAAATTGAAAAAGTCGTAAATATTATGACTGATCGCGATGAGAAAAGGTAAGTCCTGCCTTCAAAATTAAGTTATCAGCATCTTACAACCTAAAAGTTTTTTTGCCTTTTGTAATTCAAATAGTGATTACTCATCATTTGATGGAGAGCAGACCACAAAATGTATGCCTGAAGATAATATTGATGACGCTGTTCCACCCCCAATAAAGTTACGACGAGATACCATCTCTCCTTTTGAAACGCAAAATGGTGTGCCAAGTTGTTCATCTGAAGAGGAATACTCTACTCGCACCCATCCCATACTAGTAACTGATGATGTGAGCAACTCGAACAAGGTTTCTGCTGATAAAATAATTTATGAATTCTCGTGGCGTAATTTTTTCTCTCTCATCAACCTACTCCGTATCATGCAGAAAGTTTGCAAAAATAAAACTCACAGAAATTTGTTACTGGTACAGTATAAGTCCTCAAATATTCTCAAGAGGGTTCTCAAGATTTCTCAACCATGCTTGCGTCTCTACACTTTGAAACTTTTTAAGAACCAAGTACCTTATTGTGGCCGGAGGTGGCGTCAAGGGAATATGCGTGTTATAACGGCTGTTTATCTACACTGTCGACCCGAACTGCGCGATGATTGGCTGGCTGGCGGAAATATAAGTACAGATGTAGATGAAGCTCTACCTCTTGAGCAGGCTCTACGTGCGTTGACTCACTGGCACAATATTAAGCGTTACCCAAGTGAAATGGGAATAAATCCCACCATTATTACAAAAGAAAATGACTTCTTTCTGAACGAACTCGAAAAAATGGAGATACAGGACGAGTCTATTTACGATGGCGAGGGTATTGTTGACAGTGGTTGGGAAAATGTTGGTAATGCTGGCTGGTGAAACGTAAATCAAGTACATTGTTCCGATCGCAGGCATAAGTTCCCAAATCTAATTCTAGATCGTTGTGGCTAGAAGCTGTGTTACTTTATCTAATGCTACTTCAAACCAGATAGGCTAAAATAAAATTTATAACTGATTAGATTTCACGTGACTTTGTAAGATGCATGATTAGATTGTTAAATTAACTTTATGCTTTATTTGATAAGTGAAATGCCGCAAACTTATACAACGACAAGAAAATAGGTAGACTTATGATGAACTATAGAGAGTCACCTATCCAAATCCACCAAAACCTTAGCAGGGCCCAGAGTAGCATTGCCACACAAGTAAGAAGCGAGCACATTGGGCTCAATGCTTACTTTTACAGAAGGAACGTGCCAGGAGTAGGAAAACCATGCTGCCAATGTGGATATCTGTCCCAAAATATAAAGCACATGGTGATGTCTTGTCCAAGATGGGCAAAGGGAAGAGGTGAGTTGCTACGAAAATCGACAACTCGATCCTTCGAAGCTATGGTAAATAACGTCAAAGATATGACCAGAATTGCGCAGTGGATTCAAAAGAAAGGATGGCTAGAGCAGTTTCGGATGACCGGGGAAATCGAGGCGTTAATCAGGCGGAGAGAGGAAAATGGATACACAGGACAAGGACGGAATCCACACTGGCAACAACAGTGTGAGTGCACTTCCTAGAGGTAAGACCATAATCGCACAGAGTCAAGTTAGACAGCTAAGGGGGTTTTTACTGCAAGGTTTCCTCCTATGTAAATATTAGAGTTCGTAGACACCTGCATGGGCCCATAGGGCGCCAAATCAGGCTAAATGAAATCAAAAAAAAAATATTTGCTTTATGAAAGAGAGATGAATGTTTTTTGTACTGAATGAGTCCATGACTATCTATTGTAATGGGCTCCTCTCTGGCCCAGGCTGCACCCTGCGCAAAGCTTCTATCCTTTTTTGTTGCCTAAAAGATCTCTGATATATTGCCCGTGATGCATAACTGCTCAGTATTTACCCATGGAATTTAGCCACCTCTTCCACGAAACCTTCTATCCAAAAGAAATTAAAAATGGTAGCAATGGAAACTGCGTGCGCTGGAAAAAGTCTCAAAAGACCTGTATCCCAAACTAGGCGAGGCCTAGACACCGGGACCACATGAGGTGCGCATGTCCATCTACATCTCCCTTCCTTGTAACATCAAAGGCAAAAATAACCCGATTCACCATTGCCGTGTCAAGAACAGGGTATGCTCCAGGAACTCAAAGTATGACTTGTCCTCCACGGCCAAGAAAAGTGGATGATGAGAAGGGCTTCGACCCTACAATCTGATCTGATCATGCTAACCTTCATATTAATGGTGATGGGAGGTATTATTGAGGTATGAAGACGATTAGACCGTGAAATCGATTGGGAATTCCCATCGAAATGACGACTTTGTTACTCAATCTAGGCTCTGTAGGCTCTATAGTGAGAGCTGGAGGTTCGTCGGAGATACCACTGACAGGCGTTGAGAAAAGCCCTACTAAATCAGAGTGTTTCTCTTTCGTTTCCAGCCTCCTCTTAGCTCCTTCCATCCTATGTGCCCAAGAACAAATTTGGAGTTACGTTGAAACGCGAGAAATAATCTGATAGATAAAGAGTGCTATTATGTAGCCTAACTTAGTTTCTCTGTACCGTCTTGGGTGCTAGGCGATATGGTAGATTTATTAACTACAAAACAATCTCGAGTCGTTTTGGACTCAATCTCAGCCTCAAAGAATCTATGGTAAGAGCTTGAGGTTCAGAGGGCGCAACTGAACTGTTTTGCACCTCCGTCTCCCACCATATTCATAAGGAGTGATAAGAGCATTTATTACCCTATTGAAGATTGTCCAATACAATATGATATTAAAAAAAAAAAAAAAAAAAAAAAGAGTTATCTACAAAACACCACAATTTTATTCTTCTTCTCGTCTTATTGTCCTATCTCCATATCTTAGTAGTTAAATTTTCAGTGGTCTGTTTTCAATGTATGTCGTAACTAAAGCAGTAGCATAGTTACAGTTAATTGGACAAAGTCTAAACACATAATTGCGTCGTCCTCTACGAACCTGAGAGGGAAATATTCTCTCAAGGCCAGGTTCAGCCAAATTTCGTAGTACCAAAAAGTAGTCCCACGAGGCATTGATTCAAAAATCTCTGCCATGTCAATCTTTCGCTCCCAACGACATCACTTCCTACCCAAGCCTCATCAAGTCTGCTAGTACGACCTATAACGTTCTCATATCAATGACCACACCTCTCATCATCTATTTTCTGGCATCAGCTGGTCACCAAATGTATGCCAACGCCTATATTTTGACACGCCTGATGAAACAAAGTGGCGCAAGAATCCGGGGGCAATTTTTTGGATGAGCATGAAATAAAGCTGGACAGTTTTATAAGATAATCCAGAGAATGGACACGATGTCGATGGGCATAAGACTTCGAATTCTGGCTGCGAATTTTTCAAATTGAAGAGCGTCGTGCGCGCTATGCTTTCAAGTGCAAGTGGGCAGCTGCCACTACAAAGACAAGCCAATGATAAAGATGCCGCGGCCCGCCTCTTGGCGGTGATCTTCACTCGAGTTTGAGTAGCCTGGGGGCTTACTCCATATGGGGAGGAGAAAATTCAGCGGATGATGGAGGAATTCCTGGATAACTCTGAAGATTTGAGAATTTCCCCTGGGTGAGTATTCACGGATAAAGACTGATATGGGGGAAAGAAATAGCCACCAACCATTCACGGAGGTACTCTCAAATGAAATGCGAGGGAGGAGTGCTCCATTATTAAATTGAGGTGTATATTTCATACTTTATCATTTATATGTTGTGGTGGCTGGATAGCTGCTTGTACTATGCATGTGCAATCACAATCTGAATCGAAAAAAACTTGATTGCAGTACTCAAATAGCTTTGAAAGTTGTGAATTGCTTTGAGGAAATAATTTCCCCTCAGTCATTGAGGTTGTAGAGCGCAATGATTTAAATAAATACCAAAATGAAACAAAGTACAGAATTTTTAGTCACGTGTGTATCAACAACGTGGCCCACTTCATAGCCCCAATTATTCTAGAATCTAACAAATTGCACGTTTGCTATGACATTTAATTAACCCCCATCATTAATGATTAGCATGTGTAATAGTTATCCTATGTACTTAGACTGACATCGATTGGCTGTAGTATCTTTAACGTCTTACTTATTTAGGGTTGGTGAGGAAAAATGCTGGGATTGGACTAGTGTATGGAAACCCCTCTTTTATGTATAAATGGGAGCTTTTTCTGAATCTGTAGAATAATTCCAAGTCATTCATTACACTTAGCTATCCATTAATTACTAATAATTTATTATTACTTTGCATATAAAATTTTTGTATCTCTACATTATCCTCCATCCTAGTATACCGCTTTATTCAAGAGGTCAATAACAATCTCAAATTTTCACTTCATAAACCTTATCAATATCTTATCTGATACTACTTAAACTTCGGAAACGCCGAAAGATTAAAATACAGACATGGAAACAAACAACATCCTATCACATCCAGAAGGACCCGAGTCCCAGTTTGTAGTGGGTGAAGGTATTATCTAATCACGCAATACTTTTGTCATGCTTAATACTTTCTAGGCACATATGCTCTGAAGGAGGATCTTCTCCTCGCAATGCCCCTTCCTTGCCCCTCAGAAGTATCTCACCTCAATTCAAATCCACTATCAACAAATCCTCAGCCAGAAACTTCTGGTACAAAAGTTTCATTATTATCGATTAGCTCGCTAAGAATGGTTAGCCAACCAACTACTGAAATTTTTGGTAACTTGGAATCTCTCGAAGAAAAGGGAGAAAACCAAAACAGGGTAAAAAAATACGTGCAGAATAATTCAGGGAATATTCAGAGACGTAGGATATCTCCCACAGGCAGCGTAAAGTTTTCACAGGGCGTAGGATCAAGTCCAACAAGTGAAGAAAACACTATCTTAACTACCATCGGAAGGGATCAAGGGAAGAAAAAAAAACCTAAAAATAATATTATGAAAAGCAACTCTTCATTTATCTCTAGATGCGTAGTAGATGAAAACCTAAATAAAAGATTACAAGAAAGAAAGTCCGATGGCTACTATGCCTTCGCAAATATCGATAGAGCTTTCCAGTGGCTTGATCTATCGTCTCCTCAAAAAGTTAGTATCACAAAGCTCTCACTTTAAAATTCAGACTTACAACTTCATCTAGGCAGAATATTTAACCAAAATACTGTTTACCAAGGGACATTGTCTTTGTCATGATATAAATCAGGTTACCAAAAGTCAAACTCATATCGATTTGATAATGGGCTTCTCGACCGGGGAAATCATATGGTACGAACCGATTTCACAAAAATATACAAGGCTTAACAAAAATGTGAGGAATATCTTTCAAGTTTTTCCAGATATTTGACTTACCTTAATAGGGAATTATAAATAAAAATCCAGTTTCAGAGATAAAGTGGATACCAGGATCGGAGAATCTTTTTTTGGCATCACACATTGACGGTTCGTTAGTGATGTATGACAAGGAAAAAGAAGAAGCTGCGTTGCTATCTGAGGAAAAAATCAGACACACGACAAATCCGGTTGAAAATTCCGAACATAAAATACAGCCATCGCTTTGTATAAACAAGTCTATCTTTTCAAAAAATCAAAAATTCAATCCCGTGTCATCCTGGAAGCTTTCAACACAACGAATCAATTCCTTTGCGTTTTCGCCGGATAATAGCAGGCTCGCTGTGGTCGGTGAGGATGGTGCCCTTCAGATTTTGGACTACCTGGAAGAGCGGTAAGATACATGCGTTATTTTCATAAATTGCTCTAATATATCTAGACTTCTTGGAGTATTTTCGAGCTATTATGGAGGGCTTATCTGTGTTTGTTGGTCCCCAGATGGAAAGTATGTTTTAACCGGGGGACAAGATGACCTTGTTTCGATTTGGTCAATTGTTGACTTAAAGATTGTTGCCCGTTGTCAAGGTCATCATTCTTGGGTTACCTCAGTTAGCTTTGATTTTTGGCGCTGTGACGACTTAAACTATCGTTTCGGTAGCGTTGGTGAAGATTGTAGGCTTCTATTATGGGATTTCAGTGTGGGCATGCTACATCGCCCAAAAGCTGTGAGTCTATTGATCCTAAAAAGACTGGTTTGCTAAGAAATACCTTCAGACAAACATGAGATTAAGAGGTAGTGTATGCTCCTGGTATCCGGGAATTTGCCGCTCAGAGACAAATGTGAATTATATGAGGTCAATGTCCATCAATTCATCTGCTGAGAATCCGGAGAACACAATTGATCACCCAGCCGAGCCAAGGGCAACAACCGCTTTATTGCCTCCTGTTGTGGTATGCAAGGGGTCCTGCTCATAGGGAATTATATTAATCAGGTTTTAGTCAAAATTAATCCACAAAGATCCTCTATGCTGGTTAGGATTCACCAAGGAATCTATACTAACATCTTGTCGTTCTGGTTAATATATTTCACTTCTGCAGCTTATTATGATTTCTAACTCTTTCCATAGGTCACATAAGAATCTGGGAACGGCCTTCAAACTTGTTCGAAACCATTAAGGTTTCGGTGTAGTAGCTTGACTAACTGATCCCTATTGATAATCAGCTAAGGTGGCTCGTATAGCTCTAAATTGAATAGCTCATATAAAAAGTATGAATATTAGGACTTGGCCCTAGTTAATGATGTATAGCCTAGTTGTGCTAGGTTGCAGGCTACTATTACAACTATTCATGAATTTGGAATCAGAGTTGTGAGTAGTTTCGGTTTTGTGTGAGTGATTAGATTGATACCTGAGTGTGTCGCATAGTAAGCAGGAATGTGACTTAACTGGCAAGATGCACGGTAAACCTCAACTCCAAAACGATAATATTAATCAAGTTTTGTAAGTTAGGTCCTGTGAGGCTAGTGTGGATAGGAAATGGGGGTTTGAACTGTAGATAGATAAAGACGTTGTAGCTCTCTGATGATTGGGAGAAGTATTCAATTGAACAGTATCAGAAATAATCCGAGCCTCTCATTGAGTAATCTCATAAATTATCTCCAATGTCTGTGATTACAAACGCACATACACAAAATCGACATAAAGTATCAAGCTGATAAGTTAAACATGGTACTACTTGTACGTCAGAGCTTCGCTTATGTTATGTCACTGAATTTGAAGGCAGATGGCCATTGAAGAAGTCGGACGGAGAAAATTTCTGGCCAAAAAAAAGGAGCTGGCCTCATGTTCATCGACTGTTTATTCTTGTCTTTGCCAGTAATTTTTATTTAGCATCGCTAATTTTATATGCCTATCGTATTTCAAAATTTACAGGGCTAGAGCTCATTTGCACGATAATGTGACGGCTAGTAAGCCGATAGAGTTCCTGTAACCAGTGCCGTTTAGTACAGGCATTTCCTTACCATCAACACTAAGTTGCACTTCAATTCAAATTTGGGCACTTCTCGTGTGCACAGCATTATTGGGAACCAGCTTGCATCTCAAAAACGAGGGCTCCAATAGAGGATAGCTAACAGTCTTCTGGATAGGAGAATTTTATGTAAAAATAATGCTTCAGATTTAATATCAGTTTGAATCATCAGTTAATTAATAAATTACCTTTTGACATACAAACGCCCAAGCTCTCTATTTCGAAATTGTTAAAGATAGTAAGTGTAAATAGCTATTTATAGAATCTTGAACAGATCAGATATTTCATCTACTCAGCTATTGATATCCACAAGTTATCCCAACTTGCTACAAGGCAAGTAGCTAAGTTCCCTGATATCTTGTAATGATAATGATAATGATATTTTTATCGTGACCGGGTACTGACCCAGCACCCAGGGGGCATGGCACGGGTAGTCCAGATCTATATAAGACTCTTCGCTACCTACATGATTGGTTCATAGGAGCCAGAAATACAGAAACAAAACAAATAAAAAGAAAAACCACCATTTCTGAGGTGCTAGCGCCCTGCACTACACCTCCATCCTCGTGCCACACTGAGCGGCTCTAAGAAGCAATACAGCTGACATTCAAGTTCCCTGTTTATGATTCAATTTTGCTGTAACATTTTGTTACAGTTAGAAAGCGCCAGAATATCTGCCATCCTTCTTGCCCTATCATATCCCTTGTCGTAGGTCGTGGTTCCTTCGTTTCCGTCCTCCATTTCTGGATGGTCGGGCGACACTCTGCAAAATGCCATGGCCGTTTCTCTCGTCCGCATTTGTATCGCATTTCTTCATTCGGATGTTGAAATCGTCTGTGATAGCTAGCGAAATCACCATGCCCAGTCCTTGCCGCAATGAGGCGGTGATATGCCCATCGAGGTAAAGCTAGCTCCGGAGGGCGTTTTCTTCGCATCAGTAAGTCCAGATCTTCATACCTGTCCGATCTATTTTTATGCCACCAATCTTCCGCGAGTTTCTGTACTCGTATTGTGACTTGGCGTTTAAGTGCTGCGAATGTCAGGACTTTGCCAGATTCCTCCTGAGTGCACTCTGGTCTCGGGATATTTCCTTCCCTGGTTTTTGATGCAAGGGCTGCCTTTGCAATTGCGTCGGCTTTATCGTTCCCTTCAACACCACTGTGTCCCGGAACCCAGTGGACTTCTATGGCAGGCTGAGCCTTGGATAGTTCAATAAAATTCCGGACCTCAGACTGTGAAGAGCTCGTTCTACCACTCACAAGGGCTCTTACCGCCTCTTGATTGTCGAGGAGCACCTTGATACCTATACTACCTCCAATTTCCGACGCCGCTTCTAGGCCTCGAACTGCCCCGACGATTTCTGCATCAAAGACCTCTGCTCCTGGGAGAAAATTTCCACCACTCGCTATGAGTTCTCTGTCCCTGTATATAGCATAGCCATAGGCTGAGTATGCTGGACCAGTCGATGACCCATCAGAATATACACACAGCGTGCCTACAGGGAGATTTCTAAGCCAATGATTAGTCCGCTTCGACTTTTCCTCCTTGTCGCATTTGGCTCTAGCCATAGCCCTCGCGATCATCGGTTGGTAAAGCTGTCCAGGCCCTTCTGATGCCGGTAGGTTGAGGTTACCATTCTGAAGGCGTGTCAGATATCGCTCTGGAAACTTGAAGACACGATCTTTTTGCCCCTCTCTCAGTTTGAGTCGCTTAATTGCTTCCTTTGGTGTCTCAGCTGCCCTTGACGACAAAGGGTGATAGCTGTCGAGTCTGCGGATTCTGGCTGCATTTCGGAGCTGTCGCTGCTGTAGCATAATTTCTGCCGGTAGTATCCCTGACTCACGGTGCAGAACTATATTTGGTGTAGTTCGCCACACTGGCAGTGCGGCTCGAACAGCAGTCAAAATAGTTCTATCTAGTAACTTGAGGTGCCATCCGACACACGTACTTACTCTTTTATCTCGTACCGTCGTGATACGGGTGAGTCCAGGCCACCAAGCTTCAGCGCCATAAATTGCCGTACTGACTACACATGCGTTCACTGCACGGATTAATGGTCCCGGAGCCGCACCTCGTTGGACCCTATTAATACTTCGTATAAAGTGAGATAGTCGTTGTGCCTTATTACACCATTCTTGAACATGTTGTCTAAACCTCAGTTGGGAATCGAGCCAGACCCCGAGCCATCGAATGTGCGCGGAAGGCGTAATAAGCTGTCCCTCAACCCTGACCGCGAGGTTGGATGAGTCTAGTTTCTTCTTCGGTCCTCCTCCTATAACCAGGAGCTCGGACTTAGAAGGGTCTAACCTTATCATGTGCGTTGAAGCGCGTTAGATTATCCTGTCTACTTCTACCTGGGCAGCCTCAACAGCCTCACTAGGATTTTTACCGGCGCGAACAATGGCAATGTCATCTGCATATCCGAATATACAGTTTGGGGTTCCATCTTCAAGTAGGATTGAGATGTATAACATAAATAAAAGTGGCGATAGTGGTGATCCTTGGGGAACTCCGCACTCAACAAGCTTCTCATCAGTTACACCTTTTTCGTGTCTCACCAAAACTTTTCGTTGTTTCAGAAATGATTCTACCAGGCGACAGAGTAGTACTGGCCAGCCCTGACTTCGCATTCGTGCGAGCAGCCGATTGTGTAGCACTGCATCGAAGGCACCTTGTATGTCCAGCGTGACCATAGCTGTGACTTTGTTGGATCTCATTGCAGCTTCTGCATCGTGTATAACACATGATGCCAAGTCGACTGCTGAGCGTCCTGGTAGCGCGCCGAATAGTTGTGGAGGTACTGCCTTGTGTTTTAATGCAAGCCAGGACATCCTTTTAGCTATGAGCCTTTCCAATCCTTTGCCTAAGCTGGAGAGTAGCGATATGGGGCGCCATCCTTTTGAGCTGGAGAGGTCGCGTCCAGTTTTTGGAAGTAGCACAACTTCCGCCACCTTGAAAGGCATAGGAAAATATTGCAAGTTGAGACAAGCCTGGAAGAGGTCCCTGACGTATGTTCCAATCGTGCTCCAGCAGGCTTTGAGAAGTCGTACGGTAATCTTGTCGAGCCCCGGAGCTGTTTCTTTGCTGCCAATGGTTGATGCTGTGACATCCTCCAGTGGCACCTCTCCATCCCATGGAATCAACTCTGGTTGACTGTTCTCCCACGTATCGATGTCGTTTCTCGCGTTATACCTTGCAAGAAGAGAATCTCGCAACGCAACTATCCGCTCTAGTGGATCTGAAAGCCACTCGTTTGGTGATACCCGGAGAGGAGGAGGCTGTTTGGTCGGCTTCGGTTTGGCCCATCGCATAAGTTTGAACACTTTTGCTTCTATCTCTGCTGCCTCGACTTGCTTTGTCCAGTATTCACGTTTGGCTCTCTTCACTGCGGCTCGAAAAGCCCTACGTGTCACTACTATATCTCCAGATGTCCTTTTGGCTGTCCTGTAGTCAAACTGATGTCTTTTACATTCATCAGTCCACCAAGGCGCTGTTTTTCCCCTTCCCACCGCGGGTGTTCGACCGACAACTTTGATCGCGTCTTGAAGTACTTTGATTAAGCTCTTTGTGAAGTCTTCAATCTCGGTTTGACTGCTGAGGGGGCCGTGCCTTACCCATTCCCTTACGCATCGAGCAAACTCGTCTAGGTCACCGTCTCTTACGCGGATTAGCCTCGGGATCCCGGATAGCTGCGAGCATCCAGGTGTGTCAACCGAGCCTTCAATGGTGGAGTGGTCTGATGTACAGTCGAACCGTGCTGATACCGATGCAACTGCCGTCGTATTACTCCAGGTTAGATCCAGCACGTTTCCATCGCGATGAGTACTTTTTCCTAAGGTGTTTAGTAGCTGCATGTTGTTTCTGCGGGCCCACCCCATGATGAGATCACCATTTCCGTATAGGCGTTCTGTTAATGGCTGCCAATACTGTGAGACTGAGTTGAAGTCACCCCCTACTACTGAGGGTCCACTTGGCTGCCAGCTTAGTAATGGTCCCAAAGTCTCACCATGGCCTGGAGCACGGTAGACATTTACAAATGTCAGTCCACACACCTGCACAAAACAGTAGTCTGATGACTGGCTTGATGACGAGGGTGAGATCTAAGCCGCTTGGAGTCCTTTTCTCACAAAAGTGACAGCGCGTGGTCGTGGTCTCGGTGTC